CCATTTTTTTTCCATTTTTTTTTCACAATCCTACTCCTGTCTATTCCCCCCTCCCAGCGACTATACTAAAGAAACAGCATAATGAAATAAGAGAAAGTGTGGCAGGCCAAAATTCTAAAAGGAATATAATTGCACATGAATTGTAATTTATATACCAGTTGCTACCATGATTTTTTGTTTTGTTTACTATAATTGTCACCTTTATATTTTGCATTTATTTATAGTTTGTCATGTGACCAGAAAGCACTGATTTTCTTTTTCTTTTCCTTGACAGGATCCTTCAAAATGTGGACGCAAGAAAACAGTCTCCTTCAGCAGCATGCCCTCAGAAAAGAAGATAAGTAGCGCAAGTGACTGCATTAGCTTCATGCAAGCTGGCTGTGAACTGAAGAAAGTCCGGCTAAACTCTCGTATTTATAATAGATTTTTTACTCTTGACCCTGATTTGCAGGCACTTCGCTGGGAACCCTCTAAAAAGGATTCAGAGAAGGCAAAACTTGATATTTCTGCAATTAAAGAGATCAGATTAGGGAAGAACACAGAAACATTCAGAAACAATGGACTTGCAGATCAGATTTCTGAAGACTGTGCCTTCTCCATTATTCATGGAGAAAATTATGAATCTCTAGACTTAGTTGCCAATTCAGCAGATGTGGCCAACATATGGGTGTCAGGTTTACAGTACCTAGTTTCTCGTACTAAGCAATGTTTGGATTTGATAGAGAGTAGTCAAAATAGTCCACGGTTTGCTTGGCTCACATCTGTATTTGAAGCTGCAGATGTTGAAGGCAATGGGATTATGTTGGAGGACACAGCTGTAGAATTAATCAAACAACTGAACCCAGCCTTAAAAGAGTCCAAAATCAGATTAAAATTTAAGGAGATTCAAAGGAGCAAAGAGAAACTAACAACTCGTGTAACAACAGAAGAATTTTGTGAAGCATACACAGAGCTTTGTACAAGACCTGAAGTTTATTTTTTGCTAGTACAAATATCTAAAAACAAAGAGTATGTAGATGCCAAGGATCTCATGCTTTTTTTAGAAGCTGAGCAAGGGGTTGCAGGTATCACTGAGGACATTTGCCTTGACATCATTCGTAGATATGAATTTTCACAGGAAGGGCAGTTGAAAGGTTTCCTTGCAATCGATGGGTTTACACAATATTTGTTGTCTCCAGAATGTGATATTTTTGATACCACACATATAAAAGTTGTTCAAGACATGACCCAGTCTTTATCACACTATTATATTAACTCATCTCACAATACCTATCTGATAGAAGACCAGGTCCGAGGGCCAGCAGATATCAATGGCTATATCAGGGCACTGAAGATGAGCTGTAGAAGTATCGAACTGGATGTTTGCGATGGGCCAGATAACGAACCCATCATTTGTAACTGTAATAATAGGGCATCACCTCTGTCCTTTAAATATGTAATTGAAGTAATCAACAAATTAGCCTTTGCTTCTTCAGAGTATCCTCTTATTCTCTGCTTGCAAAACCACTGCTCCATACAGCAGCAGAAAACTATGGCTGAACAAATGAAGAAGACTTTTGGGACCAAACTGTACACAGATGCACCACTACCATCAGAAATGTATCTGCCATCTCCAGAGAAACTGAAAATGAAGATTATAATCAAAGGAAAGAAACTGCCTTATGGTAAGGATTTATTAGAAGGAGAAGTCACAGACGAAGATGAAGAAGCTGAAATATCTCGCAGAAAGTCTGAAGAATGTTTAGGGGACCCAAAAATGTCCTGGCTATGCAAAGAGCTTTCTGATCTTGTAACTATATGTAAATCAGTCAAATTCAAGGACTTTGAGAACTCAATGAAAAGTCAGAATTATTGGGAAATGTGTTCCTTCAGTGAAGGAGAAGCCAGTAAAATTGCAAATGAATGTCCAGAAGACTTTGTCAATTATAATAAGAGATTTCTGTCTCGAATATATCCAAGTGCTATGAGAATAGATTCCAGTAATGTAAACCCACAAGATTTTTGGAACTGTGGTTGCCAGATAGTGGCAATGAATTATCAAACACCTGGGCCAATGATGGATTTACATACTGGATGGTTTCTACAGAACGGGGGTTGTGGTTACGTCCTTCGACCTTCTGTAATGCGAGAAGAGGTGTCTTACTTCAGTGCAAACACAAAAGGCATCGTCCCGGGGGCTTCCCCGCAAGTTTTACATGTCAAAATCATCAGCGGACAAAACTTTCCAAAGCCCAAAGGGGCCTGTGCCAAAGGGGATGTCATAGATCCTTATGTGTGTCTAGAAATCCACGGCATCCCCGCCGACTGTACCGAACAGAGGACTAAAACTGTTCAACAGAACAGTGACAATCCCATTTTTGACGAGAGCTTTGAGTTTGAGATCAACTTGCCAGAGCTTGCCATGATCCGTTTTGTAGTCTTGGATGACGATTATATCGGCGATGAATTCATAGGCCAATATACGATCCCTCTGGAGTGTTTACGGTCAGGCTATCGACACATACCTCTGCGCTCTTTCGTAGGGGAGATCATGGAGCACGTTACACTTTTTGTGCACATTGCAATAACTAACCAGAGCGGTGGAGTAAAGCCCCAAAAGCGTAGCCTGACGGCTAGAATGGGAATGAAAACCAGAGACTATACTATGCTGAGGAACACAAGCCTTAAGATTATAGATGACATCTTTAAGCTAGCTGTACACCCATTGAGGGAAGCTACTGACCTGCGGGAGAACATGCAGGTAAGGAAAACTGAGTCTTTTTTTTTACTATAAAAATTGAAAGCTTAGTTTAACAAAATATCATATGAAATACACATCGGCCACCTTGAGCCGAGGTGGCGCAGTGGTTAGAGTGCAGTACTGCAGGCCACTTCAGCTGACTGCTAGCTGAAGTTCGGCGGTTCAAATCTCACCGGCTCAAGGTTGACTCAGCCTTCCATCCTTCCGAGGTGGGTGAAATGAGGACCCAGGCTGGGGGGGGCATTAGCCGACCCTGGAAACCCGCTAGAGAGGGCTGAAAGCCCTATGAAGCGTTATATAAGTCTAACTGCTATTGCTATTGCTATTGCATTCCCTACCACCATCACCACCATGTTGATGCATTTCCCCAAAATCAAAAAGCCTGACTTAAAATCAGTTTGTCCCACAATTCAATTTTTTTTTTTACATAAAAAATTCCTGGCATATAATTTATCGGTAAGCATCTTGGGTTCGATGTCACCCCTTTTAATGACTTTGATGGTTACAGATCATTTCCAGTCTTTAAGCATCTGGGTCTGCAGAACAATACATTTTCTACCCAGAAGAGTTCTTCACGCTTGCATGATTTGGGGGAAATGCATCAACATGGTGGTGGTGGGGGTGGGGAATGCAATAGCAATAGCAGTTAGACTTATATACCGCTTCATAGGGCTTTCAGCCCTATCTAAGCG